TATACATATGTAAACATGATTTAATTACCATTATAATTAGCTATCTCACAAATTTTTGCTCACTCAGGTGTTTTTTTTTATTTTACAGTGGGGTAATTTTGGTGCAGTAGCACGAGATAGCTTGATTTCAAACTTTGAATTGAATAAAAAAATGACAAGTAAGCAGTCAGTGATAAAATAAGAACAAATACAAAAATGTATAATGATAGCACAAATAAAAAAATAACGACAGGCCAATAAATTGCTTTTTAGTTTTTCAGTTAGGTCTAACAATAGGGTTAAGATATTTAAAAAAATTTTTTTTTTTTTTACCAATTATCCAAATAATGTTTAGTCCTGGAAAGCTATTATTATCAGAACACACGAGCATAACATGCGGTTAGCAGATCAATGAATGAGAGGGCAGCGTTACCAGAGTTGCTCATATACCACACCATGTTACAACACAGTAGGGCTATTGCAGACAGAAACAATACTGTACTACATAGATGTTTCATAACTAAAATGTTATGTTGTAATATAATGTACTAAAATATTACATTTACTATAGTTTTATATGTATATACTTTAATTATTTGTGATTGACAGTTAACAGAAATATAACAAATAGTTTGCTACTACCAGTAGCAGTTTGTTAGGGAGAATACTATGCTTTAGCAGAAATGCATAGGGAGTAAGTGTGCACAGTCTATTGATGTCTCTGATTAACATGTTTTTATTTCATGAAAAAAAGAGAAGTGTGAACATTCTTGAAAAATGTCTACACTTTATGAATAGCAGGTCTGTAATGAGTAAATAACAGAAGTGTATTGTTTTGGTGAACTACTTACAAAACGGAAGCAGAAACAAAATGGTATTTTTTCCTGTTTGCATCATTCACATTCTGCTAGTTTGTGAAGGTTTACACATTAACCTGATCATTCTCTCTCTCTCTCTCTCACACACACACACATACACACACACACACAGAGTTGCTCCTTATAGAACATCTTTTATTACACAAGATTACCAAGTCTAGTTTACAAATACGGTTTCCAGTCCTGAATGTGTGTACATACAAATACACACATTCATATGTACAGGTATGTATACATATCAACCCCCCACCCACCCCATGCCCCTTTTTTGCTTTAAAACAGCTATTTTGTACTTTTGTTCTAAAATTCCAATCTTGCCCTGATCTAAAAGAAAACCTTAAAATGATTCATACATACAGAAACAATCAAGTTCAGCCCTGTTTCATGTTGCAGAAAAAAAGCCCAGCATATGAGGGATGGGCTGAAGTATTGATTGGCAGCTCACAGGATCACACCTTTCCAATCAGCCCACATGGTCACATAACAGCATTTGGCAGATGGGCAAGCTTGAATGATACCACAAAATCATATAAAGCATCAAAAAAGTCCCATTTGTCCAAGTTCTCTTAAATACTGATAAACATCTCCATGACTAAAAATAAGACCAAAAGGGGAAAAAGAGACAAAACAAAGCTTTTTTCTGGGTTCTCTCTCTCAAAAGCATTTGGCCAATGTGAGGGGTGAGAGGTGAGTGGGGGGGGGGGGCCTTATGAGTGCCCCTCA